GTTGCATAAGATTTTGAGTATGAACTTCTAGTGGCTTCCGACAACAATACGTATGCAAGCGAGGAGTGGATCATTGACTCTTGGTGTACCTATCACATGTATCCCAATTGCGATTGTTTTGTGACCTATAAAACTATGTCAGTATGTATTGTATTGATGGATAATAATGCATCTTGTAAGATTGGAGAAATTGGCAATGTCAAAGTCAATATGCATGATGGCATTCTTAGAACCCTAAGTTATGTTCGCTATGTTCCATATTCAAAGCGTAATTTGATCTCATTAAGTACTCTTGACACGAAAAGGTATAAGTACTCTACTGAAAGTGGAGTTTTGAAGGTTAGCAAGGGTTCGCTTTTTGTGATGAAGGCGGAGAAAAAGAATGGAAGGTTGTACGTTCTCCAAGGGTTTATAGTTACTAATGATGTTGTTATTGCATCATATGTACTGTCAAAGGAATATGTACTAGGCTTTGGCATATGTGCCTGAGGCATATGAGTAAACTTGGAATGTTAGAGTTGAGTAGAATAGGTCTCTTTGATGATCATGAAATTTGTAAGCTAGAGTTTTACTAACACTACGTGTTTGGAAAATAGAGGATAATCCATTTTACCAAAAGAATTCAAAATACAAAATGTACCCTAGACTATGTTCATTTTGATCTATAAGGACTATCTAGAGTACCCCTCATGGAGGTGAAAACTACACGTTGACAATCTTTTATGGCTATTCTAAAATGGTTTGGTCGTTCTTCTTGAAGCATAAAAATAACGAAATAACTACTTTCAAAAACTGGAAGATGATGATTGAGAAATAGGCTAGAAGGCAAGTTAATTGTCTACATATTGATAATGGTTTGGAGTTTTGTTCTAAAGAATTTAATGAGCTATGCAAGAAAGTAGGGATTATGAGACACATGATGGCCTGTCATACACCACAACAAAATGACATTGCTGAGCGAATGAATAAAACTATAATGGAGAGGTTTCGTTGCATGCTCTCCAATGTTGGTATATAGAAGTCATTCCACTATTATGTTTTCTTATTAACATGTCTTCTTCCATGACCATTGACAAAAAGACTTCGCAAGAGGTATGGTCTGGTAGGCCTGCAAATTATTCTAATTTGAAGATATTTGGTTGTCCTGCGTATGCTCATGTAAATAATGGTAAATTAGAGCCTAGATCCATAACGTGAATCTTTATAGGATATAAATCAAGAGTAAAATGCTATAATTTGTGGTGTCCTAAAACTAAAAAGATAATTATTACTCTATTTCTACTTCACAGGGTGTAAAGAAGTCTCCATCCAAAAGTGTTGAGACGCCTTCACATAACTATTGGAATTATGTCAAGTAGGAGTTTCCCTACACTTTAGCCACTTTGATTCTATATATCCTTTAAAAGTGTTGGGATATCACCACTCATCAATTGAAACTCATTTGCTACAATAAGTGTAGAGGTACTTTTGCCCTAGGAAAGGAGGACAAAGACCTCATTATTATTTCTACATTGATAAAGAAGCCTTTGCTCATCAATTGAACTTATCTCCTGATGTTGAATTACTTTTTTTATGATCAAAAGACATACATTCCTCTAGTGATCAATAACACAATATAAATTATCGTATATATTCATAATACTAAAAAGATATAAATTATTATGTTATCTAAGATAAAAACATTTATTATATCTTTCATATGTAATAATCTATTTATTTATCATTTGTATTTATGTTTAATTCTGCATACTTTATCATTATTTTCTCTCTCTTAAATTTATATTATAAATACATAATTCAAATAAACAATAAAATATAACAATAAAAAAGCATATTCTCTATAATTTTATATCCTTTATTCTCTTTCACTTCCAGTTAAATTTCCTCTCATTTATAACAAATTATAGTAAGTTTAGAATTATAATAAGGTGGTTTCCTCGACCGACTCGTTTTATAGACAGCTTAGAATTGCATGGTGCAATGCTCCCGACAACATGCCACAAGTGAAGCTATTTGATTTTTTTTTTATTTATTTTTTTTCCTTTTTTGTATGAAACCTATAAAAAAAAAGGCTAGATTCTCAGATTCTACTATCATACATCATTATCTTTGTTAATATTTTAATTAAATTATTAATACCCCGTCCTAATCTGATTTGTACATAAACTCGTGATTACGAAAACCAAGTCAACCCAATAATAATATTTCCAAACCCTAGATGATCGTGACACTTGAACTTCTCAATAGCTGCTAATCTTTAATTAATTACATCAATTATTATTTATTTTTTTAAAATAATGAGAAAGGTGGAATGACATAGTCACGTCTCTTGTGAAAAGTATTAAATTAAAAGAGTTAGGAATTTCATGATCCAATGAGTTATTACTATGCAAGAATAAATTAGGACTACATAATGCATGATTAGAAGGCTCCCCATTAATCAAGACTTCATTAATTTGGGTAAACCAACATTTAATGTGTGGTATATGAGCTCGAAGATCCAGGGCGGACATGCAGCTGATAAATATGGTAGCATCACTAAGCCATGTTTTTAAACCATTTAGGGTGCTTTTGATAATTGAAAAAAAAAATTTGGAAAATGCTTTTGGTGTTTGATAGCTATAAATTATTTTACGAAAAATATTTTTTAGTATTTGATAGTTGTAATTGATTTTTTTAATGTAATTTATTTTCTTAGTTCATTTTTATTTTCTGTAAAATGTTTTACCATTTGATTTTCGGTAAAACATTTTCCTGACTTTTCACTTTATAGTAGAAGCATTCAAAAAATATATTATTTTATTTATTTAATATTAATTTAATATTTTATTATCATTACAATTAAAATATTAATTATTAAAATATTTGATATTATAATATAATTTTAATGAATATTATATTTTTATTATTATATTAAAAATATGTAATCATATATATTATAATAATATATAATGCTTAATAATTTATTATTATATTAATAAAATACTAAATAGCTAAAATTAAGAGTGTTCAAACAGTTAATTCGATCACATATTTAATTGAATTACCAACCAAATTAACTGAACATTTTTTCTTTAATAGTTAATCAAATTGATTTTTTCAAATATTAACCGAACTGAACTTTATTCATTTTGTGTAAATCATTTTCTATAAAATTAATTATAGTGTATCAATCAGTTAGTGAAATTGGTTTACACAAAATCATCTAAACACAATAAAATATTTTATGAATTTTTTTACAGAATATAATTTATTTTACGTAAAACAATTTTAGGTAATTCATTTTACGTAAAATAGTTTTCAGGTAATCCATTTTACTAAATTGTTTTTCAGAAAACCAATTAGAGTCTATCAAACAGACCCTTAGTCATGAACTAATAATGAAATATAATTCTAATATATATCATTAACGCTGGATTAAATAATTATTTTAATTTTTATTTTATTTTTGAAATATTTTATTTTTTAACATTTTATTTTAAGGTAAGGAGACTCTTGATGTTTCATCTCAGTTTGGCGTATTCTTTTTTTTTTAAAGTATTTTGGTCTTATTTTTTCTTTTTGAAGCATTTTGACTCTAATGTTATATTTTTAATGTAAAATGATCTCAATTTTTAAACATTAAATATTTGTTGACTAATGATTTCATATGCGAATTGAAACATTTTACCTCAAAATGCAAAGTTGAGCGTCAAAATATTCTAAAAAAGAATATCAATCAAAATAACTATTTAATCAAACATTGGAGATTTTTTATACTATACTTAATAATAAACATATTTTAAATACGATTATATTATAATAATAGTCAAAATAACTATTTACCTTATAAAATAGCTTCAGTAGTAAAAGAAAATATTGGTACCCTAGAGGTTATAGACTCGAGCAGAGACATCTTTAATATATATATACGTTTTTAATATGTTAAGAAAAATCTGAATAGATATAACTTTATTATATTCACCCTAAATTGTTAAAAAAAAAAAAGAATTTGTCTTTTCTATCGTACTTTTATAACTCAACTAAGTAGTGGGAATTTGACTATTCTCTTGTCATGTTTGCCATATATTTTTATTGTTTGGTACTGAAAGAGTGATTAGCTTTGGGTTTTCAAGGTGGGGAACAGATGGCAAGCGTCGCCTCCCCTAGGGTTGTGTTTCAGCAGCCCCAATGGCCCACCGCCCAATACGGCTGCACCTCCCTTCACCGGCAACTCGTGCTTCCATGTCACTCTCTCCAATTCTTTTATGTTCTTGCTTTTAACAAAAACAACTCACCCGGCTTCCTTGTATTGCATTATTCATTCTCATTTTCCATATTTTTTCAGGTTCTCATCATTTATTTAAGTCATTTGCATTCAAATAAGTATGTATTTGATATTTTTATTTTTAATATTTTAAAAAATCGCATGTATGTCAAATACAAATAGTTTTAAAATATTAAAAAATAAAACAGATTAGCACACAGAATAACAAGAGAGATGCCTTTTTATTTTTGGTTAGATTCGAAGGGTTTATTATATGGATTAAAAGACTGTTGAAAACCAAATCCATATATGTTAATTCATATGGACCCTGTTCCAGTGTACAGCTATAACATAACAGCGACAGATGAGCAGATGTATTTTATTTATTTAGCATTATTTTCCAAGTTCTGAAATCTATATCCATAAATAAGAAATTTTATTTATTTGGGTGTGGTGAGCATATTGGAGTTCCACTTATCTGGACCGTCTGATGTCTATTGATTTCCCAACCATCCTACCCACATGCCCAATTAACGCCAATAATCATTGTGTTGGGGTGTGAGGGTGGACCACTTCGTATTCATTCCAATTGTATTCGTATTTCACTTTTTTATCATAATAATTATAAAAAAAATTATGTGATCATCGATTTTGATACATTAACCTCTTCATGTTACTCCTTATTATATGATTATTTGATATTTATATTCTATATTTATGTTTGATAAAAACATCCTATAAAGAAAGAGGAGTTTTGGGTATTATTATATAAAAAGGGAGTTCTGGAGGAGTGAGGGCATATTCTTCACAAAGCCTGAAGGGTATTGGTTAAGGGAATGCCTCAAACCCCAGAAGCACATCTCCTTGGTTTCTGCTTCTAAAGGAATCTTCAATTCTTCTTCTTCTTCAAGTTCAAGTTAAGGTTTCAGCTGGTTTCCTTTTCCTCTGATACTGCTGAAGCTCTTGAAGAATCCTTTACAGGTTAGAACCTTTTCATGCATGTGAATTCATTTCTTTGAATTTATGGTTTTTGGGATTCCTTTATTGTGATTCTATGAACTTTAGTTCTCACTGTTGAACAAAACCAGAAGAAGAATCTAAATTGAGGAGGAAATTATTATTGCCGTCATTGCCACATGTGAGATACATTCACCATAGAAAAAAAGGCTCGATAATGGAAGATATTTTTTGTTGGCCCAAAACAGCAGTGAACAACCAGACAAATCATGCTAAAAGTAGCTCCCTTCTTATCTAATAATAATATAAGTGTTGAAATTTGAATCCAAGACTCATAGATCAACGGACTAAGTGCCGGCTGACGGGTTCCTACTTTTAGTCTGCATTCATGCCCTATTTATCAGCTTTTCTTCTGATCTTTTTCCTTTGGATTTTTGCTCATCTTACAGGTGGAACTAGTGAGAGGTCAAGTGTAGATATTGCAACATAATCTACTTTTTCTGACCAAAATTACTTGGGAATAAAGGGATTATATCACCCTATATTTATCCAATCCATCCCTAGATATTCTTTTTCTTGGGGTTTTGAACAACCGAACAATGGAGAAGCTTCTTAGACCGTACCATAAGGAGTTTATGAGGATGGCAATCTTAAAACATGAAGAAACATTCAAACAACAGGTACATTAATTTCTCACTATTTCTTCTTTCTTCTTCTTCTTCTTTTTTCTTCTTTTTCTTGTATTGATGGTTGACCAGGTCTACGAGCTTCATCGTCTATATAGAATTCAGAAGACATTGATGAAAAGCATGGAAAGCAGTAGACCCGCCATGATGGATGGAACCTATACGCATCATCAGAGTTTAAGAACCAGGCTTGACTTGGAACATCCGGCCGACGACGATGACGATGAGTTCATAAATGAAAGCGAGATTGAATTGACTTTAGGGCCCACAAAGTCCATGTCGAGGAAGAAGCATGGAACTCCCACTTTAAACTCGGATTCTGGACCCAACAGCTTCTCTTCATCATCGACAGAATCCTGTCATATGATCAACAGCAGGCCGAGTGGTTTCATGGGGACAACCAAACGGAAGACAAACACGGCAGCTAGAGATGAATTCATTGGTTGTGAGCCTGGATTCCTCCAAGTCACCGACACGACGTTGGGGTATCAAAACGGAAGCAGAAACAATGTCGATCTCGAACAACAATTGAGACAAGAGAGATTAGATCAGCCTCCTTGGCCTTTTCAAGTTCCAAGTATGAATATGAGTTGAAAAATACAAATTAAAAATGCTCTACGTTGATATGATTAGATTTTAGATTGATGTTTATACGGAAGTTGGAGTTTAGTCTTTCTAAAAGTAAAAATGGGAGATGGAGTCTTTGCGTAAATATCACTTATTTTTTTCTTCCGGATTTAAGATTTCGTCAGGATTAATTTAAATTAATTTATATCATACATTTAATTTTAATGAACGAATATCCTAATAAAAATTTTATGTATAAATAAAAATTCAAACTCAAAATTTATTTTAATAATATTAAATTATTTATCACTTAAATCAATATTTTTTTTTCTAGATTAGCAAAACCCATTACCTTTACTTGATCTCTCTTTTTTGGATACCCTTATTCTTATATGTAATGGGGTAAGAGGAGGTAGGATAGTAGGCTGTCCCACGTCAGGTTGAGAACAACTTTCGTAGGAGACCTTCAAATTATAAATTATCCACCGTGAGACTCGATCTCACGACCTCAATATTAAAAACCTTGTACTCTATCAACTGAGATTGATAGACAATTCTAGGTGCTTATCTTTCTAATCAGTTAATCCTTTTCAAGTCCCACTTCGGAAGACTTTCAAGTACAAGGATAAAGTCACCTTTACTTTTTGTTTTTTTTTAATTTGATCAACCTTTATTTTGGCTCAAAATAGATTTTTTAAAAGAAAATACATAATTTTTTTAAAAAATATATAATAATTTTATAATTTTAGAGATCGAGCTACTCGTCCCTTGATCCATCCATGTTGCCAGCGAAAGAAATAACCTTGCGACTATATTTTGTAGTCCTTTTTATGCATATTGTTCAACTAAAGACAAGGTGTTTAATTTTTCAAGATGCTTTGAAATAGCAAGTACACAGTAATACTAAAAGTTCTTAACTTTTAAATTTTTTAATCAAATTTTGTTAATTGCATGTGTTTTTGCTATCTACATTGAATTTTCAGTAATTAAGAGCAAAAGTAAAATTTTTGGTGAAGGCATGCTAAGAAATTTTGAAAAGGTATAATGTTAGAAAAATATTATTAACGATAAGTTAAATGATTATTTATAGTCCATATTTTTAGAGTATTTTGACATTTAACGTTTTACTTAACGATAAAAATATATATATTGTTTAGTTAAATAATCACTTTAACCTTTAAAATTTTTTTAGAACATTTTAACCTCTTCATTACATTTTGAGGTAAAAATGTATCTATTATGAAGTATTAATAGTTTGTTAATTAATGATTTTCATAAATATATGGACATTTTTATTATAAAATAAAATATTAGAGGTCAATGTTCTAAATAAAAAATCAAAATCAAAATAATTATTTAATTAAATATTAATTACAATTTTTTTATTGTTTTGATTTTATTTTGAATCAAAAGGTGCCCGCCTTTATTAAAATCAAATAATGGAGTCTAGCCGTAAAGCATTCACGAAACCCAAAAAGGCTATGGAATGTGGGAAATGGTAACAAATAATAAGGGGAAGTATCACGTGCGTCTAGTTAATATACTATTAATAAAATACGTTTTTGAATATATTATTATTATTTTAATATTTTTAATAAAAAAGTTATCGAAAATATTATTATTAGTCGTTTTAACTAGTTTATTAATATATTCGGTAAAACATTAACTAAAATATTATTTAATAAATACACCACGAAAAACTAAATACAACTATGCTACAAAGAGAAAAGAAACCGGTGGCTCTTCATTTCCAAATGCTCATATACAATCAAACTCTGTCAGAAGCTTCAGCAATGGGAAAAAAAAAAGTAAAAGAAATCGAGCATCTAGTGGACTGATAACAAGTCCTCCCCAGCTAGCTACGATGGATCTAACCATCTCCTGTCCTCCGTCGCTTGAGCTTCAATGGCGTCTGGTACCTCTTCAATTCAGTATCTATTCGTCTGGTTCCATCTCCGATCTGTTTCCAACAGGTGAGCCATTGTGTTACAACTTCTTAGAACGAAATGAAAAGAGCATGCATGAAATTCTAATGCCCTCCTCTTCCATTCCCAAATCAGAGCGCTTGTCACGGAGAAGTCTATCGCTGGAGATCGTTTTCGTTCAATCACAGTTCTTGAATCCATTTCAACAGAGACGTTCGTGAAACCTATCTCTGCAGCGAATTCAACTGCATGCACGACAGCTGTTGCTTCATCATGGAAAGCAGATATAACATGAATAATTTCCTTGCGATAAGCTCCCATTATAAGCCCCTATTATAAGCCCCTCCCTATCTTGTATTATAACTCTTGACCACCCTTTGTTTTGACTTTACAAGAAACACGAATCAAAGTTAACTTTTACCTCCATAGGACCAGCGGTTTGCAGTGGATGACAACGTGGGAGGCCGAACCTCGACATTTCGCATTGGCATCAAGGTAATCTCGCATTGAGTCCGAACTAAGGTAACAACTGTTGGTTTTTTTTGGCAAAGTCCTACATTGGTTGTGTATAAGGAGGAGGGGAAATTCTTTTGTTATAAATAGAGTCATCCTCCTCCTTAGTTAAGCATCCTACAAATATAAGCCTTCTTCACTATTAAAGGTTATTTGTACTCTTTCTCTCTTTGTAATATTTCCTCTACTAGTGAAATATTATTTTAGTAGTGTTCGAGGAGGTAGACATAATTTTGGCTTAACTTCGTTAAATTTTGGTGTTCTCTTTATGTCTATTTAATAGCTATTGTCGGGTATAGTTGTTGTTAATTATTGTCCTATTAAAATTACTTGTCTTGATAGTTCTGTTTAAGGAAAGTGGGTTTTAAGAGAGACCATTGTGACCCCTCCTCTTTCCTGGGAATATACCTTGGGGTGATTTTTAGTACAATCGTTTTCACACTAGTCACCTAGATAATAGTTTTCAAGGTGAATTTGTTATTATTGGTGGAAATCAACCCGAATTTCACAATAATTGGTATCAGCGCTCTTGGTTTATTTTAGTATGCTCTGTAGTTGCGGCTTAGACTGATCTTCCACATCAGAAAAAATTTCTTGGGATAATTGGCATTCCGCATTGACAGCTATTAAATAGAATTTGTAGCAGAAATGACAGACACAACAAAAACATCCACATCGTCGTCAGCAGCTGTGACAAATGTTAGATTTGCAGTGGAGATTTTTGATGGCACCGGTCATTTCGACATGTGGCAAAGTGAGGTTCTAGGTGCCCTATTTCAGCAGGGTGTAGACATTGCTATTGAAGGAGAGAAACCAAATGATGTTGAGGAGAAAGAATGAAAGAGGATCAATAGATTGACATGTGGTACTATTCGATCGTGTCTTTCTAGAGAGCAGAAGTATGCATTTTCTAAGGAAATTTCTGCAAGTAAATTGTGGAAGGCACTGGAGGAGAAATTTTTGAAGAAAATCGGTCAGAAAAAGCTCTACATGAAAAAGAGATTGTTCCGCTTCAACTATGTACCGGGTACCACTATGAATGATCACATTACTAGCTTTAATCAGCTGGTGACTGATCTGATGAATATGGATGTGACTTTTGAAGACGAAGATCTGGCTATGATGGGATCACTTCCTGATGAGTTTGAGTATCTTGAAACTACTCTACTTCATGGGAAAGTTGATGTGTCTCTCAATGAAGTAACATCTGCCTTGTATAGTTATGAATTGAGAAAGAAAGACAAACAAGAAAACACAAGTGTCGAAGCAGAAGCTCTTGTTGTTAAAGGTCGTTCGAAGAGTCAGAATAAAGGAAGAAGAGGGAGATCGAAGTCAAAGTCCATATTGAGCAAAGATGAATGTGCCATTTGTCGAGAAAAAGGGCACTGGAAGAAAAAATGTCCCAGGCTAAAGAACAAAGGCAAACCTGAAAGGGGAAAGGCTATCTCAGAATCAAATGTGGTCAAGTATGATGATGCAGATTCAGATTTCGCATTCGCTGCTATGCCATTAATCAGCTGTTCCAGTTCATGGCTGTTAGATTCAGCTTGTAGCCACCATATGACCCCCAATAGAGAATGGTTCTTTGATTTTAAAGAACTAAAAGGTGGAATTATCTACACATCAAATAACTCCCCTCTTGACACACTTGGGATTGGTTTAATTCGCTTGAGGAATCAGGATGGATCAATCAGAACCTTAACAGGTGTCCATTATGTACCAGATTTAATGAGAAATCTCATCTCTGTGGGAACCTTAGAGTCAAAAGGTTTAGAAGTGAGGGCAAAAGATGAGATTATGAGAATTATCTCTGGTGCACTGGTGATAATGAAGGGAATCCGAAAAAGAAACAATGTGTATTACTTTCTGGGTAGTACAATTGTTGGGACAGCAGCAGTGGCAGCTTCTACTGATGAACAGGAGTCAGAAGCAACCAGGTTATGACATATGCGCTTGGGGCATGTTGGTGAAAAATCCTTAAAATTGCTGATAGATCAAGGATTATTGAAGGGTGCTCGGGCTTGCAAATTAGCTTTTTGTGAGCATTGCATCAAAGGGAAGAAGACGAGGGTGAAATTTGGAACAGCAATCCATGATACTAAAGGTATTTTGGATTATGTTCATTCAGATGTATGGGGGCCTTCCAAGACAACTTCATTGGGAGGAACACACTATTATGTCACCTTTGTTGATGATTTTTCCTGGAGAGTTTGGGTGTATACAATGAAGACAAAAGATGAGGTGCTAGGATTTTTCCTTAAATGGAAAAAGATTGTGGAGACTCAAACAGGCAGAAAAATCAAACGTCTCCGTACAGACAATGGTGGAGAGTACAAAAATGATCCATTTCTGAAAGTATGTGAAGAAGAAGGTATTGTCAGGCACTTCACTGTCAGAAGTACACCATAACAGAATGGGGTGACAGAGCGTATGAATCGAACATTAGTGGAGAAGGTTCGGTGTATGTTGTCTAATGCTGGGTTAGGCAAAGAATTTTGGGCTGAGGCTTTGGTCTATGCTTGTCACCTTGTCAACCGCTTACCATCGACTGCTATTGGTGGTAAAACACCATTAGAGAAATGGTTTGGAGTACCTGCTACAGATTATGATGCCTTACATGTGTTTGGTTCCACTGCA